CCTGAAAGTATACCAAAAATATTATTGTTACTGATTTCATACCTATATCTTGTTTTTCCAAAATCACGAGGGAAAATTTGTATCTAATTGTTCATTGATTTATTTGTTTTCATGAATGGTGTAGGTTCATTTTGTCAAGTAGACATTGATTGTCAATTTATGGACCCTTTTTGTATTTAATGAATGGTGTTTTGTTGTGGATGTTAAGTTTAGCTCACCATAATTTTATTTGAAATTGACCATAAGTTTCAAAGAAAAATCCAAAATCTTTTTTTGCGACAAATATAATATGTAGGGACTCGCTCCCATGAAGCACGTGGTGGAATGGGATAGCTTAAAAATTCCCATTTTTGCATTTTTTCTTAATTTTATTTTGTATGGTGACAGGGAAATTTTTTATCTTGTTCAAGCCTTCAAGGTTCGATTCTACATGCTAGTAGTGCAGTTCTGGCCGTCAGATCATTCGCACAAATATGTGGGGTTTTGCCGTGGATGTTAAATTTTGTTCACCATAATTATGTGAAATTGATCATAAGTTTCTACGAAAAATCCAATCTTATCTTAATTGTGAAAAAAAGGAATGGGATAGCTAATTTTCTCTTTTTTTTTTTTTCATTTTCTTTTGTATGGTGACATAGAAAATTTTATCCCGTTCGTTGGAGTCTATATATATGCTTGTGAAAGCAGTCATATGCTTGTACACGCATTGTGCGCCTAACAAAGTGAAATACAAAATGAAACATAACAACGAAATATAATTATTTATTCCAAATTATTTTATGATATGCATAACGTGTCTATGAGCCAAGCTAAAATATTCCTCACAAATGCTAAAAAATAAACAGTACATATAATAAGTCAAAAACTAAAATCAAATTATAGTAGATGTAACCTCAATTATATATGCAATATTTTGGACAACTTTTTTAGATCCATCACCATAAATCTTGTTCATCCATCAACCCTTCATTTGGAAACCTACAATGAAAAAGCATTTTGTCAAGCCCAAGTGGTCCCCTGACTACGTACATTTCAATAGCAGCACATACACATTTTTATTCTCAAAATTTGGACCTCCAAATTCCTAAAAGGTTCCAAAAGAGTTCATCAAAAAGGCCAAAACCCCACAACCCACCCCCCACTTGCTGACAGGTGTCTGAATCACATTTAAAAAAAAAAATAAAAAAATTGGGGCATCAAATTTAGTTTAGTACTTTAATTTCAGTAAGTGCCCTTTTGTTAATTTAATAGTGCCAACTTTGGGGTGTTTTACATTACAAAAATTAATTAAAGTACTACTTGTTATGACATGCTATGCATATAAATTTACTAAAAATGTGGTTGTGGATTGATGGTATTGAGATTGGTGCTCATATTTTTCTCGTTCTATATGTTTTTGTTAGAATATTTTTATTTAATTGGAAGAAATAAATTATTATTATTTTTTAACTATAGTAATAAAATTAAGGTGAGATAGAAATGGGAAATAACACAAAATATGNGTTTTAAAAAAAAAAAAAAAGTTGCCATGGATACATAAATCTTTTTCACTTTGTTTAAGATTTATCTAATAGAAATAAAAATAAAACATTACCTTTTAAACAAAGAAAGTCACTTTTTTGTACAAATCCCATGGACACAGTTAAAAGGAATAAAGATTAATCATTATTATTTATTTTTAAAACTAAAACATATTATTTCTTCACTTATGTACTTTTAAGTACGAGTCATATGAATTATTATTTTAGAATTTTTATGTTAAATCAACTTTAATCATTATATTATTTTTTCATATCAAATCTCAAATTTATCTTATTCTTTCTAAAAATATTTTTTTTCTACTTTTTCAATCTCACTTGAGCACGATACACTCTTTCCAAAAAATCTTATATCCAAAAAATCTTATATCCAATCCAATCCATAATCCAAAAAATCTTATATCCAAAAATCTTATATAAAGTTAGTGGACAAATTAAGTAATTTAAGAGGTTTGGCAAAAATAAACGATAAATATGATGGCACAAACAAAAAACACACACACACATGATAAGACTCGCAATGGAAATGGAAATACAAAGGAGTGGCAAAAAGGACTGTGGTCCCACGTGGCAGTCCCCATTTTCTTTTTAATTTATTGCAAAAAAAAAACATAAAACAAACCAATGCGTTTTCGACTTCTCATTGGCTACTCATCGTACGTCAACAAAATATTTTTGACAGTCTTTTTCTTTGCATTGTACGGACGCCCTCCATTTCCACTCTCTCTCTCTCCTCACAATTGAACCCTTCTTAATTAGTTAATTGCCAATATGTATATAAAAAGTTATTTGTGAAAATATCTATTTTCACCCGAAATATAAGTGCAATGAGGTTTTTCACAATCTGAGTTAAAAAGAAGTGCATTAAAGATGTGGTATGTGAAAGCAATTATAACTCATTTTTGGAGTGAAAAATATGTTCTCCCTTAAAGGTTATTCTATATAAAGGCAAATTCTACATTAATTGTTGTCACTGAATATTTTACAATTGAATCGATATGCACACACACATATATATTCATACGAGAGTGTGACGGACCTGACGGTGAAAAAAATCGATGACTTTACTGCAGTAATCGACAAGTTGAAATGCTCTCTATTTATATATTGATATGAACATATGTGAAACTGATATGCAACTCAATTTGTGTTTATTATGAAGTTTGAGTTTCTATTTAGATGATACTTCATAGAAGAAATTTGTGCAGTAGTTACACTTTGATTGATGTGTACTATGGTGGTTCAAATTAATAAACAATTGAGTATCACAATGTATAACAACTTTATATACCAAAAAAACATCTATATATAAATAAGATAATAAAATTATAAAAATTGTCGGTTAAATAAGACGAAAGTATATATATACTTTCGTCGGTTAATCTATTATAATTTTACTATCTTATTTTTCAAAATATAAAAATTTAATTTTTAAAGCATGTATATAAAAGTACGACGGATGGAACCGACTAATGATTACACCGACTCATACCAAAATTTGTGATTTATGTATTATATGTTAGATTGAAAAAAAAAAAAATAAGTGAATTGATATATATGCACAAGTTGGTATGCATGCCCCCCTTCTCTCTCTATTATTATTGGGTATTGGGACCTTGAGTTTTAGTGGATCATTGTTTTTGCTTTCCACCACATACAATTTTTGACAATGTGAAGTTATTTCTAAAACTAGCCAAGAATTAGGTTTTGCTTTTCCCTTTTCTTTTTTCCATAATGGATCCAAGAGTAAGAACTATTTTATATGTTATTTCTCTTTCCTTTCTCCTTGTTCAAATATTTCAAACCTACCAATGATTGCAGTATAGTATGGCTATATTTGCGTGTATTGGTCCAACAATAAATCTCATATGACCGCCTGCAGACTGCAGTCACCACTAAGATCAAACACACTCTGAAGTACATGACTAAAGTAATCAAGTTCTTATGTAATTTTTTAACATTACCATGAAACTTGAGCAAAAAATTGTAGATCAAAAATTGTAGTAGTTATCATAATATGCACATGATCTATAGATAATCTACTCAATTAAGCTAAACATGGAATAATGAGTGGTTGTATAGCTTATTAATTATTAATCCCATGATAAAGACAAGGAAAGTTATATTATATCAATTAATCACTCTCCAACCAATTTATCCTATTTTGTCCACATCTCTCAAACACACACACACACACACACACCACATTTGTTTCTTCCCTTTTATAGGCCTATTTCACCTCCCACCTCCAACCAAAAAGCCTCTCTGGGCATTTTCCAAATTTGCTAGCCAATCCCTCTCTTAATCTCTCTCTCTCTCTCTCTCCCTCTCTCTCTCTCTCTCCCCACAACCATTAACTTGCTTTAATTTCATTCCATCACCACTTATTTGGCAAAAAAAAATCATCTTTCTGCTCAGGTATAAGAAAAGTTCAGATCTTTGCTGTTTTTTTATCACATATTCCTAAATCCCACAAATTATATTTTTTCTGCTTCCAAATTTTCAGTCCCATTTTATCTTATTTGGCAAAAAAAAATTATCTATCCTCATGTACAAAAAAAAAGTTCAAATCTTTGTTGCTTTTTTTACATATTCCTAAAAACCCACAAATCATATTCTATAGGCTTGCATATTTTCAGTATCATATTTTTTTATTTGGCAGAAAAATTCATCTTTTTAGCTCACATACAAGAAAAGTTCAAATCTTTGCTGCTTTTCCTTCATATATTCCTAAACCCACAAATTATATTTTATCTGATTGCCAAATTTTCAGTACTATCTCATGTTAAAAGCTATATACATAAACAAATATCTTGTTTTTACTTAGTTTTGTTTGCTGATATTTTTTCAGAATAAAAAAAGGTGTGAAAATGGTTAGAGGAAAAACCCAAATGAGGCTAATAGAAAATGCTACGAGCAGGCAAGTTACCTTCTCAAAGAGGAGAAATGGTCTGCTCAAGAAAGCCTTTGAGCTCTCAGTCCTCTGTGATGCTGAGGTGGCACTCATAATCTTTTCTCCTAGAGGCAAGCTCTATGAATTTGCTAGTTGCAGGTAAGAAACGCACACACACACACACACTTTGCTGATTCTTGAATAAGCCCATTCTTCTTCTTTTTTTTTTTAATTATTATTTTTTATTTCTATTGTTTTTTCTGCTGAAAAATTTTTTTTGGTGTTCTGATTCTCTTTCTTTAGATCTTTTGTTTTTTGTTACAAATTTGGAATCTTTCTGTACTATAGATGTTTTTTTTTTTTTCTTTTGTTTGATTATGGCACTGTGTAGTGGATCTTTTAAGACAGTGATGCATATTTATTTGTGAGTTTAGGTTTTCAGTTTGGTCTTTCATGAAAACCCAGATCCTTCATTTTTTTAGTTATATTCAGTTTGTTTTGATTTCTTGCGTATGAATCTAGCCA